TCTGCAATAATTCAGATTAGATCATTGAGATAAGAAGAAGGGTAAGGGACTTATGGGCTGGTTGTATTACGCTATTTTTTTAAATTTTATTTCATTTATTTATTCTTCTTTGATTATTTTTTAAAAAGGGAAAATACTATTTAAATTTTTCAATAATGTTTTACTTTTTTGGCAATTTTTTTAAGTGAAAAATGTGTTATTTTCTATTTCAAATTATATTTTGTGAAGAAGTTGTTAATGTGAGGCTTAAAGTAGTAGACGAGTCGGTAGACGAATCGTAGTTTCATATCTATTGTTATTTTTTTTTTATTAAATTTGTTTATTCCTTTAGCGTAGTTATTTCAACTTGGTGTCTCCTTTTCCCCTAATCCATTTTCAGACCTAAAAGATAATTAATGATATGCCCCTGTGGTACTATTTCCATAGAGGGATTTATATAGGGGACAGAATCCTTTTCTCCAGGAAAACTTGAAAGGGAAAAACATTTTCCCCTTACCATCGTTCAATTATACTCTCGTTAACATATACCGTTCACCGTTTTTGAGCCATTTTCGAAAATTTCTGAGTCAAAATATATAAAATCTTCCAGAAATGGTAATCTCTTGCTTTACAAAAATTATCTTTGCAATATATATCGAAAATATAAGGGCGACACAATTTATTGGAGATGCGAAGATAACAATTGCAAGGCAAAAGTAATAATGAAAAATGGTTTCATAAAAAAATTGCATGAAAATCACGGGCATGCACCAGATTTCGATAAAATTAGAAGAAAATAATTATGTAATAAATTAAATTACACGATTATTATTATTGATCGTAACTCACGAAAGAAATTGCGATCCTTTTCTTCTTTTCCCCCTGACGTAAATATTGAAGAAAGAAAAAAGTTGATAGCCGATACTCTTTCCGAAAACGAAATAATATGTGTGTTAAATGTACTAAATTTGGATGCTGAAGGGAAAAAGTCTGAATTAATTGATAGAATTTATCAATCGCTTATGAACTTAAAAGAATTAAAAGCTTTTAATACACAATTGAGCGAAGAAGAACATGAAGGCGAAACTGAAACTGTACATGTTCATGATAACATTGAAGCCGCACCCAAATGCTTAACGAGTAGTAACAAAACAAAGAATTTGAGTCTTCGAATTACTTTCTTTTAAAAGAAATATCAACTACAATGAGACATTTCAATGCTTCTGATTCATATGAGATACATTTGTTATTTAACGATGTTGAGGACGCATCGCATTTAAGTGAAACACAGAAAGTAATATTTTGTAAAACTTAACTTGACGGTCAAGTAAATTAACATCGTGGTTATTGTTTAAGAATGCTTTATTAAATGAGTTTAGTCACCAATTAAATGCCGCCGAAATTCATCGTCAATTAAGTAATCGTAAAAAAATCAACACGAATCTTTCATGTAATATTTTCCGTACGAGCTAGCGTGTAACTGTAAAAACCAAATGGACGATTTTTTTTATTTGATTATACTATTGACGGTATTCTCGATTCTCCCGCTAATAAATAAATTTTGTATGGCGCGAAATCTATTCCTGAATTTAAGGATAAATTGCGTATTTATGAAAAAAATAGTTAATGATAGAAAAAAATATCTTTTTTCCGTACAATTTGTATACATTATCACTAACCCATAAAAGCTAATTACTAAAAAAATAATCTTCAGGCACATAATAATGAAAATATTACACTAGTTAAATTAAGGCGTTAATATTTTAAAATTAAGGCGTCATAATTAAAACATATAAATATTTTGAACAATGTTTTGAATAAAAAATAAATTATGAAATGGGAAGAATTAAAATTACGTTTACTCGTTTTGTGTTTTATAATAATTCCTGCCGCTCGCTATCACGCAAGCTGATATTTGACTACTATTGTTAAATTTTTACTAATTATAACCTATCTAGGTTAAATAACTAAAACACCAACATAGAGTACGCAATCAATTAGCGCGAACATAAGACTCTAATCTTATTCTAAGGCAGTAAGCCAAATGAGATAAGTTTCCTTCTCATGAAACTAATTCTTCAAATTCAATAGTTTACAGGCGATGAAACCACTAGAAAATCTTGGTTAACACCAAACCCATTATCTAACCAATTTAACGATGGTTTGACAGATTAACATCCAATTATGACAAATGATTTTTATTTACTGCCTTAATCAACTAATACTCCCCTTGTAGCAGGTCCACAGGTGCGGTGCAACAATTCTAATAAATGGCCGGGACAGCCTGGTCGGTGTGGTGCCGGGCCTCCATTGTGGTTCGGTCCCCGCCCGTCGAAGACTCCCCATGTAGTAAATGGTGACTGATGCACGTTAAATCTGAAGAGTCTCAATGTCCTCCATGTTCCCATAACAAATCAATACCTCTGGGGGTATTGATCCAGAAGTTTCCTTGTCTTATGGATTGGTTCAAAATTACAAGGCTACGGCGTTGAACATTAGTAGTCGTAAACCCAAAAATTGGGTCGGCTGTTCAACGGCGGTCATAAAATAAAATATTTAAAAAAATGTTCTGAATGTTGATTTCTTGAAGTTTGTGTTTGCTTCACTTTATCATTGTATGTCTTCAGATAAAAAAACCTTAGCACAATAGATGTCCTAAAGGTGAAAGCTCATGGTATTTTACCAAATATCTTTAGCTTGGGTCGAAAAACCACAAACTAATGAAGATCAAATTATTTATACTTATTTAAACTGTAAATAAGTTTTAAAACAAATTTGATAAAAACTCATGCTCAAGGAACACTTTGAGGTTTGGAAAAAATTAAAACAATTATAACTTTTGATCTAATTACTATATTTGTTTCAAATTTTGAGAACACCTTTCTGAATGCACAATTCACCATTTCTGCATAATTTCATAAACATTGGTTCATACTTTTTTTAAAAAATCGATCATTTTTAACCTGAAGTGTCCCCCTTAAGTTTAGGTGAAGATAGTGCTTTGGTTTTGGAGTTTGTTTTGAACTAAAAATCAGCTTCTGGGTGTTATACCCACCATTGACAAGGTCCAACATAACGTATTACCATAAACGATGAGGCTAGCTTCATTGCGACATCCCTAGCGAACGAACAGATGGTGTTACTGGCAACAAGATTTATTGATACGGTGTCGCAGGGTCTTTCGTTCGAAGAAGCCCGGAGCAGACTAGATGCTGATATGGAAGAGAACAGCTCAGGGCTCAGGAGATCAATCCAAGACTCTTTGAATAGCAGCTTTCCTATTGAAGAGGATGAAGTAATTGCAGTGAGACCACCTACTTCTGCAACCTTGGATCCATCGCCTGTCCGCCAGGCTTCACCACCGCCCGCTGTACCCCCAAGCCCAATTATAAGTCCAACACTTATTTCACCTCCGTTGTCGTCCGTAAGTCCACCACCACCACCAGAGCAAGTGCCACCAGTTCCTCAGACTCAGAGTATCCTTTAAAGAAAAAGAGGAAACATAACGTATTACCATAAACGACGAGGCTAGCTTCATCGCGACATGCCTAACAAACGAACAGATGGTGTTACTGGCAACAAGATTTATTGATAGGGTGTCGCAGGGTCTTTCGTTCGAAGAAGCCCGGAACAGACTAGATGCTGATATCGAAGCGAACAGCTCAGGGCTTAGAAGATCAATCCAAGACTCTTTGAATAGCAGCTTTCCTATTGAAGAGGAAGAAGCAATTGCAGTGAGACCACCTACTTCTGCAACCTTGGATCCATCGCCTGTCCGACAACCTTCACCACCCTCACCATTATCCTTTGTACCCGCAAGCCCAATTATATGTCCAACACCTATTTCACCTCCGCTGTCGTCTGTAAGTCCACCACCAGTGCAAGCGCCCCCAGTGCAAACACCACCTGTTCCTCAGCAGCCCCAGGCTCAGAGGAAACCCTGGGAGGCGAAGCACGAGGCTTGCACTTTTAATAGAATCAAGCAAAGAGTTCTTGAAAATGGATCCTCCATTCAGTATTTCAAAAAGACCGAGGTACTCCCAGAAATATCCAGCTTAAATTTTCAAGATCCTTCTGCAACAACCCAAAGAGACCACGATTTTCATTTAAGTAAGTTATTATTTTGGAATCTAGAACATTATTCATCCTTAATGTATAAAATTCAAATGTTAGCGTTCAATTATTTGCCGTTAAAACTAATAAGCTTCATAAGTTATGAAGAACTGCTAGTTTTATTAAACAAAACTATATTTTCAACTTTTTGGAATGTTTTGAGAACTGAACAGTATGTTTTATTCTAACATATTGATGACAAACTTAGTCCACAAATTGATTGATTGATTGAATGTAGGGTTTAATGGCACAAAGTCCTAAGAAGGACATGCTGCGCCAAACATACGTTTTTAAAATAAAGGTAAATGTATATTACAAATTTTCCTCATTAAAAGCCACACGGAATTTATAAAACTAGATACAACGTGAAGGAGGTATTCAAAAGTGAGTAAAATCAGGTAAAATGTAAATGTAGTAAAGTATTATAAAACAGTTGCATTCAAAGCTGAATAAAATCAGATAAGATTGTGAATAGGATAAAACAGTTATATACAGTATAAAAGACCAATTGCGCGTAGAAACGCAAAAATGTTAGGATGATGCGAGTCACCTAACAAATCCCGCAGAGTTAAAATAGAACTGCCAAAAAAGGTTAGACGATGACGGTTAAA